ATTAAAAAAAAAAAAAACAGAGAAAGTGGATAGGGGTAGATGAGCTCGGTCCTAAGTTGGGGAAGCTGGGTAATGGTACTTGGGAGTTCATCACACCATCCTGTCTGCTTGTGTATGTTTAAATTTTCTATAATAATAAAAGTATAAAAAATAATAACACAATCTTTTCCTTCTTCTAGTTCTTAGGAGGGGATGCTTGCTAAGGTCACAGTGACTTTGCACTGTATCCATGTGAGTCCCGGGCTCGTACCCTGAAAGCATCCAGCCCGAGCTAACCTAAGTCAGGCTGGATTTTTGGCTCCGGGGAGGATGGAAGGCAGGATTGTAGATTTGAGGAAATAATTCTTTTCAGTGCCCTCCTCCAACACCCCTAATGTAGGACTAAGCATAGATACAATTAACTTTAATTTGACATTTAAATCTTGGTTAAAACGAAAAAAAGGAGTAGAGAATATCTTCCACGCTTTGCTTCTTCGGAGAATGAAGCTGTTGTGGCGATAAACTCGCGTGTGTGCTCAGGACGTGCCCTTCCCGCGTTCGGCTCTGGAGAAAGGAAGCTTCTTATTCTTTCTTAGAATCCTGGACCCTGAAATTGGCCATTAACACAGAGTGAGGTCCGATCTGAGCCTTCGAATAGTTACTCATGTAAGGTGAATTTTCTGTGCGTTTGTAATGAGGACCCAGCTCAGCCTGATGGCCCGGGAACCCATGGGGTCTTGCTGAACTCTATGGCTGGAAAGTGGCCTCTATGGCTGGAAAGTGGCATGTTGTCGCTGTAGCTTGTATCATATGTTGTTTCAAAGTGGAGCCCAAACCCGGGAGGCCAGCGTGTGCGCAGCCGAGACTCCTTGGGGCATCCCTTTCCCGGGTCCAGCTGCCCATCCGGGTACGGTTTGGGTGGACACTCTCCTAGTGGTGCGTCTCCATCCACACTGGAAAGACCTGGACATTCCATTCCAACCTGTCGGCACTGCAGCATGACCACTGCGTGCATGAGGCAGCCACGGGGTGGGCGTGTGAGGACAAGGCCAGGGGCTGTCTCGGGAGAAATTCCGAGCAGCAGAGACAATGGGTGACAGCCGTTTCGGACAAGATGAAGGCAGTTACAAAATCCTCTGTGACAGGAACCTGCAGGACACAGCCCGCCCCTCCTTGGCCTCAGCACCACCCACTTCTTTCACTCAGAACTGGCCTCACCCTGGGTCTGTCCCTCTGTGCTAGTGACTGCTTGTGACCTCACGAAGCTTGACCGAAGGCACTCAGGGCCGTGCCTGTGACCACAAAGGGGCAGCAGGAGGGAGTTCTTTGGGGTGATGGAGTCGTTCTGTACCCCGATTGTGGTGATTGCTACACGAATCTACCCATGTGTCAAAATTCATTTTTGACTGTATGTTAATTTCACTGTATGTTAATTTTTAAGAAGTCAGTTTTACTGCATGTTAATTTTTTTTTTTAAATAGGAAGATTTTTCTTATGGAGATCTGCCTGGTTACTTAAGTGTCTGATGCACTAAGAAATCCCAGCAGTTAAGTGAGTACTTGCAGTTTGGAATATGCTCATGAATGTAATTAATTGGTCAATAGTGTTAAAGTTTAGGGGATTTTAATCTGCCGAGTTTGTGCAAGAACAGGCCACAGCAGCTGTTTAAAAATACATATAAAGAAAACAACTCTGAGATACCCCTACACACCTATTAGAATGGCCAAAATCCAGAACACTGACACCACCAAAGGCTGCGAGGACACAGAGCAACAGGAACGCTCATTCACTGCCGGCGGGAAAGCAAAACGGTGCAGCCACTTCGGAAGACAGTTTGGCGGTTTCTTACCAAACTAGACCTACTTTCCATGCTATTCAGCAATCATACTCCTTGGTATTTACCAAAGGAGCTGAAAACTTATGTCTACACTAAGACCTGCACATGGATGTTTACAGCAGCTTTATTCATACTTGCCCAAACCTGGAAGCAACCAAGATGTTCTTCAGTAGATGAATGGATAAACAAACTGCGGACATCCAGATGACGCAGCATTATTCAGTGAGGAGGAGAAATGAACTATCAAGCCATGAAAAGACGTGGAGGAAACAAATGCACCTTACTAAGCGAAAGAAGCCAGTCTGAAAAGGCCACTACTGTATGATTGCAACTATGTGACATTCTGGAAACGAGAAAACCACAGAGACGGTAGAAGGATCAGGGGCTGGCGGAGGGAGAGATGGAGGGAGAGATGAACCAGAGGACCAGGGGGTCTTCAGGGCAGTGAAACTGCTCTGTGTGGTGGAAAGTGTCCTTATGCATTTGTCCAAACCCGTGGAATGGACAACACTGAGGGTGAACCCTGATGTAGATTGTGGATTTAGTTAATAATAATGTGTCAATATTGGTTCACCAACTGTAACAAATGTCCCACGATAATGCAAGATGTTAGGAATGGGGAGGCGGGGCGCGTGTGTGTTTTTTAAAAATACATGTAAAGGGACCAGCCTTGTGGGGCAGCAGTTAAGCGCACCCACTCCGCCTGGCCGGCCCGGGGTTCGCAGGCCCGGATCCTGGGCACGGACCTAACGCACCGCTTGTCAGGCCATGCTGTGGTGGCGTCCCATATACAGCAGAGGAAGATTGGCACGGATGTTAGCCCAGGGCCAATCTTCCTCGGCAAAAAGAGGAGGATTGGCACCGGATGTTAGTTCAGGGCTGATCTTCCTCACACACACACAAAAATGCATATCAAGTGTAATACAAGAACCATGAGTTTACCACTTCATTTACTGGATTTATAATTTATGATTAAGGACTTCATGAGCACAGTTTCTAAAAACCCTAACTTGACCTAACCCCGCATTGATCAAGCAGGAGGAACCCAGCAGCCTCCCCATTTTTCCTCTCCCCGCCGCATCTCCACCTCCTACTCCCCTGCCCACCTCCGCGCCCACCGCCTCACCCGCAGCCCGGCCTCCGCTTCCGCGCCGCCCGCCGGGGGCTCTCCAGGGGCTTCCGCGCCACCGGGGCGCCTCCTCCTTCGTCCCAGCCTCGACCCTCGCGGCCCCTGGGAGCCTTCGGTCGTCGCCCCCCACCCTCCGGAGCCCTCCTCCGGTGCGCTCGGCCTCTCTGCCGCCCCCCCTTGCAGAGCCGGCCAGCCCCCAACGGCGTCCCCCGCAGGCTCTGCTCGTGCCTCCAAAGCGCGCGGTCAAGGCTCCGAGGCTTTGCACGCGCTGTTCCTCCGCCGGGGGTCCCTCCTCCCTCCCGGGGCCCCCGACCCGCGCAGGCCCGCCCGGCCGAGCCCCCCAGCCCGCTGAGGG